GGTTTATCAGAGCTTTGAATAATTTTACATATTAGTGGAATCACCACTCTTCCTCATCTCTCTACCTTCAATTCTACTGTCAACGCTACTGTCGTTTGCAAATATAAGAAAGTATTGAAGTTAGCGAAAACGACAACTGTCGGCCTGTAGTCATGTAATGTAGCTGTCAAAATAACTCTGTCCATAAAAACGTATGTGTTTTAATATTTGACAGATGTCGTTTGCAGTCTGTCACGAACATTGTGTTCAGCACATGAGCGCGACAGACTGCAGCAGGCTGTCTCTTATACACATCTAGATGTGTATAAGAGACAGACATATAGTAATTGTATTCGTACTAAATGTTGGGTGTTTTAATTTAAAATTCCCAAAAATTGTTATTTTGTTCGATCTGGCCATAATGGAAAATGTTATGAAAAACGTTTATTTTGAGGCGCTCTCACACTGGAATAAGTTGAACATCCCTTTATTCCTGCCTACGCCTTTGTGGAAATGATTATATCATAGCAAATGCCCACATACAGATTTGGCAATGGCAATAGTAAAACGTTTGACAGTTAGTATTCTATAAAAGATAACGGGATAATTGCCCAATAATCACGCCAGATGTATTTATTATGTCTGATTATCATGTGCTGAACACAATGCACGCGACAGACTACAGTAGAGCGTCAGTGAACTGAAAATGACGTTGTGAACGTTGTGCGACATAACAATGGCCGGCATGTACACAAGACAACACAGCTCTCCATTTTGCATGTACACTATTTCGTTGTGGCCATACTAATACCTTGAGCTATTTTATGCTTTTATTTGTAAAATAAGGTCAGGTTTGTTAGAGCTTTGAATAATTTTACATTTTACATATTAGTGGCATCACCACTCTACCTCATCTCTCTATCTTCCATTTATACACATCTTGTGATAATAGCAAGAGGCAAACCTGAAGAGGTTCGAATCGTTAATAAACTCCCAAGAAAAAAACTCAGGATCCTGGTCGCATTTTACACCGGC